AACTGAGTCCTCTCCTCTGAAGTTAGCAGGCCTACCCCCAATCCTCAACTGCAAATCCATCATCCCACACAACCGAGCCAAGACGCTCTCATCGTGAGCCTGATGCTCCACTGTAGTCAATGTCGTACCATCTTCCTCATCTGGCCCAGGGATAACAGTACTGTCGGTAGCTTGAGATGTGGCTGGAAGCAACATGTCAAACTGGGTCTGCTCATCTACCTACTCTTTACGCAAGTATTGCGTAAGCAGATTCACAAAGAATATCCTAGTAAGTGTGCCCTTTCTAGATTGTGCCATCTAACTCCGTATCAACTGGCCCACATGCACCGGCCACCCTTTCATCAAGAAACACACTAGACATACTTACTTTCGGACAACAGCAGAATCATGATCACATGTAAGTAGTCTCGTGTTCACTAAACGCAACCATACGTTAGCAATTTATAAACTTCACTTTAGGTAAAGTACGGGTGTTGTATCTCTTGTCCTGTGTCCACACCGCATTCGAATTTACACCACACAATGTGTGCCTAATATCTCTGTAAGCAGGCCGATCAATAAAGTCACACAATGGACTACATGGGACATCATGGGCATCCAAGAATCTACACAGTGCACTAGCCGAAATATCAATCAACCTCCCACAAATAGGTACCAATTGCTCCTTATCCTTAATGTTCCACCTGGCATAAAACTCGCGAACTAAGCTAAAGTTTGCCTCTCCCGAATTTTTAAATACATTCTTTCCCAGAGCTAAGGATAACGGGACTTTAATTTGTGCTCATCAACTGCAAAAACAGGGAGATATGAGTTTGGGCGACACTTCCTGTAAAATGCTCTCCCGGATGGGGGCACACTCTTGATGCCATACACATGAATCGCTCTCTCTTGAGGTTGTGCCCTGGTAGAAGCAGAAGTCAGTTCTTTCCTTTACCACTGTGACTACCAGACGTAGCCTCAACTCTGGTCTTTTCTTTGGCGGTGGTCCTGACGAGGTAGCCTTTGCCTTTGGTGGTTCCTTGACCTTAGCCGGTGCCCTAGAACTAGGTGTTGGACGACCCATATTGCACGTACCTATCAACCATGCCAATTGTCAACTCAAGGAAACAACAACTATCACAAAAATAAGGTCGGAGTGACCCCACACTTAAAGCTCGAAGATATGCTAATTACTTTAAATCAAAGGCTACTCAGACTTCGCCTTGTAAGTGTATTAGCATCGAAATTTCGGCACTACACATAGCCCGTTTGTCATTGCAAACACACTTTATCAATCCACCCCGACTCCATATAGTCACACCACACTTAGGTTTTAATACCAATCATGCTCACCTAACACAAAACAATAATCCTAGAGACTCGAGCTCCAATTGGGACTAAAATCGCCAATGAGGCATCTTATCGAACACTTTGTATGCATTATTTTTGCGTGAGTTGCTTTGTGGGTGAGGATTGCTCCACCCTCCCAAATCGGCTTGAGAATCGAGTGGGAAACACTCATTACAACAATCACAAGATGTCCTATGGGGTATTCGGGGTTAGGAATTTTTTTTAGCACAATTGCACCTTGTAGAGCATATTACCCACAAACTAGAATTTACAAGAAAAAGAGAGAATATAAGAGTGAGAAAGGGAAACAAAATCATACATGGGAATTGAGAGAGAGGATGAGGCAGTGGGGGTGGGACTGCAACGTGAGAACTTGGAGTTTTCTCTATTTGGGAACGGGGCAGTGGGGCAGGGCGTTAGGCAAAGGGGTTTGCTTTCTTTGTGTTTCAAAAGCTGGGGCGTGGGGGTTGGGTTTTAGTGTTGTTGTTATTTTAACTGGGTTGGGGAGGTTTAAATAATAATAAAAAATTACTTACCTGGGCCTTGGCGCGAGGCGACGTGGGCAGCAACGAAACTATCACGCGAGGCGAAATCAGGCGCAATAAAGTTACTGCGTTGGACAGCGCGAGGCGGCGTGGGAGGCAATGAAAACTCAGCGCGGGGCGAGTTTGGGGCAACGGACGGTCACTACCTTTCTAGGTAGCACGATATGTGCAAAACTTACCGTTTGGACTTCGTCTCGCGATGGCTCGATGTTTTCTTGTTTGTTTTGCAACCTTTTATCTTGTTTAGGACACCCGAGCACATCTTCCTTCCATGTATCTCCACTACCTATTAAAACACTTCAAATGCACACAAAACTCACTTGTTCGTCCGCCTCAAGATCAGACAAAATCAAAAACTAAAACTAAACTAACTCTACGCTATGAATTGGGTTGCCTCCCAATAAGCGCCTTAGTTAACGTCATGGCATGACGAATACAACACGACCATGGGTTGCCTTCCAGAAAGCGTTGATTTAACGTCATGGCACGACGCAGGACTTGAGGATTACACTTCGCTCACATATTGGGGCTCTTCCAAGTACATCACATCTTTCTCCCATTTTTCTTCAATCATTCCAAGGTAGTGATTCAACCTTTGCCCATTCACTTTAAACCTATTCGTTCCATCTTCGGACTCAATTTCTACCGCTCCACTAGGGAACACTTGCACAACTCTAAATGGTCTCGACCATTTAGATTTCAGCGTACTTGGAAACAGTCTCAATCTCGAGTTGTAGAACAACACTAGATCTCTGGGTTTGAAGTTCCTATCTATAATGTGCTTATCATGCATCATCTTCATCCTTTCTTTATACAAACTCGTACTCTCGAATGCATGGAACCGAAACTCCTCGAGTTCATGTAACTCTGTAACTCTAGTTGTGCCCGCGGTTTCCATATCCAAATTCAATTGTTGTAGTGCCCATAAGGCTTTATGCTCAAGCTCCATCGCAAGATGGCATGCTTTTCCAAACACCAACGTGTACGAAGACATACCAATTTGGGTTTTAAATGTTGTGCAGAAAGCCCATAATGCATCATCCAACTTCCTTGCCCAATCAGTCTGAGTCGCATTCACTGTCTTGGTCAGGACACTTTGATTTCCATGTTGGACACTTCCACTTGCCCACTCATTTGCGCGTGGTAAGGAGTGGCAACCTTATGGAGAACTCCATACTTTTCTAACAGCCTTGCGAATGCTCTATTGTAGAAATGAGTTCCACCATCACTTATTATAGCTTTCGGAGTGCCAAACCATGTGAAAATATTTTTTCTGAGAAATCCTATCACTCCCTTGGCATCATTTGTTGGAAGATCCACCGCTTTAACCCATTTAGATACATAGTCAACCGCTACTAATATGTACTTGTTACCATACGAGCTAATAAATGGTCCCATAAAATCAATCCCCACACGTCAAACACTTCCACCATTTGAATTGTAGTCATTGGCATCTCATGACGGCGAGATATGTTGCCAGTTCTTTGGCAATCATTACAACTTTTCACCCAGGCATGGACATCCTTGAATAGAGTCGGCCAATACAAACCCAACTGCAACACCTTCACCGTTGTCTGAATTCCTCCAAAGTGCCCACCATATGGTGAAGCGTGACAAGCCTGCAAAACAGAAGATTGATCTTTCTCGGGGATACACCTCTGGATCATGTTATTCATACATATTTCAAAAAGTAAAGGTTCATCCCAGTATAAGACCGACAATTATGAAAGAACTTTTTCTTTTAAATCGAAGAGAATTCATAAGGTACAATACCGCTAGCCAAATAGTTAGCAATATCAGCATACCAAAGCATCTCCTCCATTGCCACTGCTAGTAATTGTTCATCTCGGAATGTCTCTGTTGTATCTTCAACCTCTACTTTCTTTTTCGCTCTCTCCAACTGTGAAATGTGGTCTGCCACTTGGTTTTTCGTTCCTTTCCTATCGCGGATCTCCAAATCGATCTTGTAACAAAAGAACCCAACGGATCAAGCGTAGCTTTGATTCCTTCTTTGCTATCAAATACCTAAGTGTTGCATGGTCAGTACAAACAATCACTTTTGAACCTATCAATAAGACCTGAATTTGTCGAATACAAATACCAAGCCAACATCTCTTTCTCAGTCACGGTATAGTTGAGTTGTGCACCGCTTATCATTCTGCTTGCATACTAAATTGGGTGCACCATTTTGTCCTTTCGTTGCCCCAAAAATACTCCTATAGCATAGTCACTCGCATCACACATAAGCTCAAATAGCTGCTTCCAGTTGAGTGCAACGATGATTGGTGCAGTCACCAGTCTCTTATTCAGCTCCACAAATGCTAACCTGCGATCATCAGAAAACACAAAGAGGTGATCCTTTTCAAGCAGTTTGCATAAGGGGTTAGTAGTTTTAGAGAAATCCTTTATAAATCGCATGTAGAAACCGGAATGCCCAAGGAAACTTCTTACTGCCTTGACTGAAGTGGGTGGTGGAAACTTCTCAATCACGTCGACCTTAGCATGATGGACCTTAATACACTTACTTGACACTCGATGCCCCAAAACTATACCTTCTTGTACCATAAATGGCACTTCTCCCAATTCAGCACCAGGTTTGTCTCCACACACCTTTTCAACACTCTTCTCAAATTGTGAAGACAGTCATCGAATGAATTCCCCACTACTGACAAATCATCCATAAAGATTTCCATAATATCTTCAACCATATAAGTGAAAATGGCTAACATACACCTCCGGAAAGTGGCCGATGCATTGCATAGGCCAAACGGCATTCTCCGAAAGGCAAAGATGACATACGGACAAGTAAATGACGTTTTCTCTCTATCCTCAGGGGATATTGTGATCTGATTATACCACGAATATCCATCCAAAAAGTAGAAGTGAGACCTCCCTACCAACCTATCCAACATTTGGTCAATGAATGACAAGGAAAAATGGTCTTTCTGGGTGGCCATGTTCAATTTTCTATAATCTATGCAAATTCGCCAACCCGTGACTGTACGAGAAGAGATCTCATTATTCTCATTATGTACAACTGTCATGCCACCCTTTTTCGGAACACATTGGAATGGGCTTTTCCAGACGCTATCTGATATCGGGAAGATGATGCCCGCATCCAACCACTTAATCACTTCCTTTACCACTTCTTTCATATTCAGGTTCAGCCTTATTTGATGTTCCCTGGAAGGCTTGTGCCCCTCTTCCAAGAGAATCTTGTTCATGCAAAAGGCCGGGCTGATACCCTTTTATGTCTACCACGGTCAACCCAATAGTAGTCTTACATTCCTGTAACACCTGTTGGAGTTGTTCTACCTGCACAACTATTAAACTAGATGAGATAATAACAGGTAAAGTAGAGTTAGGCCTTAAGAAAGCATACCCGAGGTAAGCTGGAAGCGGTTTCAGGTCCAGGTGTGGTGGCTCCTCTATTGATAGCTTCGCAGGTGTTGTTTATCTTTCTTCTAAGTGTAGTGGCTCGAACTAGGATTCCCTTTTCCAGAACCCTTGACCTTCGAGAGCCATAACCCACTCTACCAACTCTTCACCATCCATATCTTCCAAATTCATCAAGCAGGCTTCTAATGGGTCTCTAACATTAAGGGTCTTGTCCTCCTCTTGTAGTATTACATCAACCGCCTCCACTAGCAAACAATTTGGAAATTGCTGGGCCTCCTCATAGATTGTTAAACATTGAATATTGTTTCTTCAATATTAAACCTCATTTTCAACTCTCCAGTCTCACAGTCGATCAATGCTCTCCTAGTGGATAAGAAAGTCCTCCCCGAAATTATGGGTATTTCTTCGTCAACTTGACAGTCAATAATAACGAAATTAGCAGGAAATACAAACTTCCCCACTTGGACGAGCACATCATCCAGAATTCCTGTTGGCATTTTCACTGTACGATCAGCTAGTTGCAGCAACATTAGCAAGGGCATCAAGTTGATACTAGTTCCTGATTGGGTCCAACCCTACACCACTACAAAGTGAAAAGAGCGGTGGGATGCAGCTTTTACCAAAAAAGGTCGGGATCGAATCCACAGGGAGCTAGAATGTTTGGGATTTGGATTCCTATCTAAACTAGCAGTGTGTAGTGCTCTTGATTACACTTCCAATCATAATTGTTTGTTTGTTACTTTTAATTTTATACTAATGATGTGCGAAATTAAGCTAAGTATAAATGCTTGTGAGGTTTTCTAAATGGTTAATGAGGCGCTAGGGAAGTGACTTTCTCCCAGGTGAATATTTGTCGGGTTCTAAAGCCTAAGGCAAAGTTGTCATGCTGGGGATTGCGATATAGCCAGTGCACGAAACTACTCACTCTAAACCTCTCGGTAGCTTGAGTGACTTTGTCCTAATTGACTTTCTCAAGACCAATTGGGTGTCAAAATTGTGCAAGCAATATAGGCTCAAGTCGGGTATTACTATCTCTAGGTTTAACCCTTTAATTGGGGCTATCAATCTATTGAATACACCCCAATTCCTTGTTGGACTGATTTTCCTAGACTCAAGCTCTCTTTCTCAAGAACAGCCCAAATCAAAAAGGCACAAATTAGTGTTTGCAACCACTAATTCAACATGGAAAACACAAATCAGTCTAAATATCAACCACCCATAAACATCTAAGCCTTAAAACAAAAGACCCATCAAATACCCACACTAGGGTTGAGCCACAACCCTAACTTATGGGTCTAGCTACTCATAATAAAGAAGAAATCAATTTTTAGATGAAGAATAACCCATATAATATAATTACAAGCTAAGATTTAAAGATTCAATGCTGAACTAGCTATAAAATTACTCAAAATAGGTCTAAAACGGCCTTCACGTGCTCAGCCATAGATAAGATATCCTAAAAATCTGAAAAAGAAGTATTTATAAAAGGCCAAATTTTCTAGACAAAAATACCCCTGACGGAGGTACCGCGGACCGCGGACCGCGGAAAATGCACCGCGGCCGCGGTGAGGCTTTTTGGCTTCACTTTTAAGTCTCTGAATCTGGCCATCGCGGACCGCATAAAATGCACCGTGGCCGCGGTGGCTTCACCGCGGACCGCAACAAATGGACCGCGGACCGCGGTGTTTTGAAATTTCCAAAATCCTAGCTCTCTGAATCCCCTCTCTGCGGACCGCAACAAATGGACTGCGGCCGCGATGAGGCTACCGCGGCCGCGAAGAATCTATCGCAGACCGCACTGCTTAGAACTCCAAGATTGCATCTCTCTGAACTTATCCACTGCAAACCGCACTAAATGGATCGCGGTCGTGGTGGGTCTGTTGCAGCCGCATTGGATTTATGTTGCAACGGTGCTTTGACTTGTTCTTGGCACTTGTGCAGGTTTCACTCCTTTTTGAGCTGGTTTTGACTTCTTGTCACTTTTTTCACCAAACACTGCAAACAAGCACAACATGTAAGCTTTCGAGATTACTTGTATACATTTTTAATCCTAAACTCAAGCAAAAAAGAGTATAAAATAAACTAGAATCCCTAGTTATCAGTTCCCAAGTCACACAATGCTTTAGCAAAAGCATAACTTCCAATTGTGCATGGGATAGTAAAACTAGCGGGATCAGATAATTTTTTAGCCATAGGTCTTGCCACTATCTCACTACAAGTTTGGGTCAGAATTACAGTAGACAGGTCCTGGAAGTCAAACTTTCGCGACATCAAATCGTTCATTATTTTAGCATAACCTGGCATTTCCCTCAAAGTATCCATCAGCGCAATATCCAATTGAATTTGTCTGGGCATTTCCATGAATATCCTGTATTGATCATCTTTCTTTTGCTTTGCCAACCTTTGAGGGAATGGTGCTGGAATTAGCTTCTTCCCGTTATCCTGTGTCTTTTCCTAATTAGAAGTCTTTTCCACTACCTGTTCTGGGAGCTGTTCAATTTCCTTCTCCTTGACTTTGTCAACTTGTGCTTGTTCAATTACAACCTCTGTGAGCTCCGTCTACTCATCGATATCGAGTGGCACTGGAGTAAGTGGTCGTGCGTCTCTATTAGATTGAGCAACTTCTTGCTCTCTGTCCAAATCCCTTCCATTCCTGAGACTCACTGCCATTAACCGATTCGGGTTCTGCTCTTTTCGATTGATGTTTGTGTCTGCAGGCAACGTTCCTTGTGGCCGATTGTTCAAAGCCATGGACAGCTGGCCTAACTGAGTTTCAATGCCTTTAATAGCCGAGTCGTGTGCGACTAACTTTTCTTGTATCTTTCCATTTATCCCAATGATTTGTTGTAGCATGCCCTTGATTTCTATCATATTACTGTCGTTCTTTCTGGTCACCTGCTGGGATGAGGCTGTTGATAAGCCAGCTATTGTTGGTGCTGCTAATTGTAACCATGTTGCCTTTAATAGGGCACAACTTGGCCTTGTGGTCGTGCTCCCCCAGGATTGGTATTGTACTGATGCTGGGTTGGTTTGTACTGTTGATTTTGAGGTCCCCATTGCTGTCCACCTTGCCTCTGACCCCCAAAATTATTTACATAATTCAGTCTTCTCTGAAGCCCTGTTTATCATTCTCACTCCACCAGCAAACATACGACTGATTTATGTAGGGAGTGCATAGGCCTCCATTTGTTGTGTCAATAATATGAACCTGTTTCGTGGCCATCTCACCAATTTTCTTGGTCAACAAGCTAATCTGGGTCATAAGAGTGGCTATGTTTTCTGCATTCGTATTGTTTGGGTCAACGGAATACACTATTGGAGTGAGTGTTGTATCCCTCATCATCAAGCCTGAATTTTGAGCCATCTTGTCAAGAAGAATCTTACACTCTGTGAATGATTTGCTCAAGAATGCACCCTCGGCTGAAGCATCCACATTGGCCTTCAGACTGTCAGCTAAACCCATATAGAATCTCTGTCCTAGCATCTGATCCGGGATGCTATGGCGTGGACACTTCACCAACATGCCCTAAACCTCTCCCAGGTTTCTTGCAAAGTTTCAGTTGATTTTTGTCTGAACTGCAATATCTCATCAATTTGCCTTGCAGTCTTATTGGGTGGATAGAACTTGTTTAAGAACTGCTTGACTAGTTCCTCCCAAATAGCAATGGAGCTTATTGGGAGCGAATTCAGCCAAGTTTGAGCCTCCCTAATCACTGAGAATGGAAACGGTAACAATCTGATTGCTTCGGGTGTCACATTTGGCTTTCTTTGAGTGATACAAATTGATAGAAAATTCTTCAGATGTTGTTGTGGGTCTTCGATGTATGACCCGGAGAACAACCCTTTATTTTGCAGCAAGTGCAGCGTGTTGTTGGTAATTTGAAACATCTCCGCTTGTATTGGAGGGACTGCAATTGCAGTTGCCAGATTATTAGCAGTTGGTTGCGCCTAATCATATAGAGAAGCTTCCGGCACAACAAGTGCTACCACTCCGATGTTTGGGTCAACTTGATCATTTCTATTGATCCCGTTGACGTTCTCGACGTCACCCATTTCAATTTTGATTTGTTCGTTCTATTTTAGCTGTTTGCCCTTCTTGTTAGGCCGATTCAATGTCCGGAATGCTTTCTCGGGATCTGAGAGACCTTCAAATAGTTCACCAGTTCTCAAGAGCTTCTAGGCATGCACCTGAGGCATAGAAGAATTCAAACGTGAGAATTTCAATGGAAATATTTTTAGTATCACGGAAAATTGATCTAAACTAAAAATCCTAGCAATTCTTTCAAGTTGTAACGAATAACATCGTTAGTTCCCTGGCAACGATGCTAAAATTTGATCACGCTCAACTATGCCTTATAAAAAGGACTAAGCGGTCGCTGTAAAAATAGTCCGATTCGAGAGTCTGGAGTCGAATCCCACAGGGAACTAACCTATTTGCTACAACTTTTCAGTTCACTAATGATAAGCTTAGACAACTTTTAGAGTTCAAGAATTGATTTGTGAATTAAGAAAATTACTTAACTAAGGAAAAATAACAATAAAAACTATCAATTAGTAAGAATGAGGTTGAATCAAGGATAAAGGATCTAGGGTTTACGAATTTCCCAATTGTCGGATCAACTCCTAACACGCTAGCTATAATCTCGCCGTAACATTCTCTAATGATGATGTGTTCTTGTTTACCGCAATTATCTCTCGATCAATTACAATAATTTACTAGAAGTATTCTCTCGAACTACTCTAGTTGACAATTCGTACAACTCATAAATATCGTGCCAAAGCTTCATTATCTCTGGTCCCGCTTTTAAGTTCAAGTAATTAATCTCTTAACTTACTCGAAAGTGGTGTTGTTCAACAACAATCTAATCAAGTGTTCTTTCTCAAGCAACACAAGATAACTAGACACGATTAATCAAGTTCCCTTCAGTTAATCACCATAAACACATAGTTGAACAATTAAAGAGTAAGAACGACTCAATTATATCAAAACGCAATCAAAACTTCATCCAACAATTGGTTCCATCAACCCTAGATGACGGGTTTAGCTACTTATAACTGTGTAAATAATCATAGTAATATCCAGAAGCATTAAACTACAAATTAAAGGAAAGCGGAGAGAAAAACTCGAGTGATTCAAGCTTCCAAAGTATTCCGTTGCCTCTTGCCTCTATAATGATGTCTAACCCTTCAAAAACTAACTTTAAGAGGTATTTATATGGTAGGGGCCGAATTCTACATGTCCAGAACTAGTGAGGAATTAAAATTTGCTCGGATGGCATCATCGGCGCGAGGCACTGTCTGTGGCACCAATATTTCTACGCGAGGCACTGTTTGTGGCACCAATATTTCTGCGGGGGGCACTGCCTGTGGAGCCATTGTTTCTGTGCGAGGCGTTGTCTGGGGCGCTAATAACAGTGCCCTGGACAATACCTTGCACTGTCTATAGCCATGACTTTTCATTGCCTTGCACGACTTCTTTTGTTGCTCCATTTTGTATCTCTGAGGTACCATTTCGTGCAACTTTTCTCCAATTCATGTTCAAGCATTCCTACACGTGAAATAAGCTCAATTAAGCATATTTGTCGCACAAATTAGCATCTAAACAAAATATATGGAATTATCGCACGACATCAGTACCAAAAGTCCATCATCATATCTGTTTAGAGGACAATAACTTCCTTAACTTTTGAGTTAAAACTTCAAAGAAAATATCACATTGTTTGGTAAAGATTTCATGGGAAAACGCATCACATGTTCTTTTTCGGCAATCCAAATTTTGCAAGACGAATGGACGACCGCGATTGTTGATGAAAAAATTGTCCTAAAAATCAAATACAGTACTCCTATTTTAAGACACAGTTCAAATAGTGACAAAATTGAGTCTATAATTTTCTCACTTACCGTTATGGTAAGATTTAGCTATCACAGGTGCACGTTAAAAGTTCAACAAAGTCGTCACAGATACCGACAACTCGAGCAGAAAAAAGGAAAAAAAGAAGAAATAAAAGAAAAAATTTACTATAAAGAAAAATGGAAGTAAAGCTTTCAGTACTAGTACTAATTACAGAGTGAAGCCAACGACAAGTCCCCCCCCACCCCACCCCAACTCCCCCACCCACCCTAACTCATACGAGTGAGGATTTCTCCAGCTGGAGTTTAGCCCCAAAATGGTGAAAGACACCGCTAAATATGAAATTTATTCTTTGAAATTTTTTCTAGTTGGGTTTTTGCATCCTCATTCGATGGCTGATACATGTTTTTGCTCATAGTTTTGCTTCTTGTTATTTTCTCTACTGGTTTTTCGATCTAGACCGTTGGTTTTGTTCAATTTCTTCAGATCCGAACGGTGTTCATTTTCATTGGCTGTCAGTTATGTTGGACTTGGCAAAGCTACTCTTCTTCCCCCGTTATGCCAGTGAGTTCTTCTATTTCTTAGGTCTTAATCGTCTTTTAGGTTTTGTTTTCCTTCTAATTTTTGCCAGTTGCTACTGCAGTAGTGTTCCATATAAATTGTGCAATGAGAGCTGTTTACTGATGTCTTTTCATCGAATTTACTGGTTTGATGCTAGTTTAGTTGGTTAATTTAGGGTTAATTATTGAAATTTAAATCTATGTCTGCTAATTTGGGAAGTATTAAATTGCTGCTGGAAGCTTGGGGGAAAAAATTATATCCTGCTTTATTTTTTTTTTGCTGAAACTAGTTATTGCCTTATTGGCATCTAATATTTCTTATTCAGAGTCTTGAGCTGGCAATGAAGAGTAGCATTTCATTTCTAGAAGAGTTTGAGTTGTATAGACCATCAGTGTAAAGAACTTTTTACACTATCACGTCACCCAAAATATTTACTGCTAAGCCTCCTTAAAATGTGGGATTTGTAATCGTGAAAAATGAGAAATTAAATGCGAAAAAAGGAAAAAAATCTCAATTGTTTTTTGTGTTGTTTTTTTCATGTGCAAAAAGAAATTACCCTTACATATAAATCTGCATGCGGCTCCTTTTTATCCTTGTAGTATTTAGTTTAAGTGACTATCAATTCTAGACGGATTTGAAGGAAAAGCGGCAGCAGGTCATAGTTTATCTGCTTGTTCTTATTAGCTATATGATGTAATTTGGATAACATATACAAAGTGAATACATTGATAGCATTTCTCAACTCCTCGCAGGCATAGGTTTAATAACTGGACAGTATATAATTTTTTGTGCACTCCAGAATCATCTTACTGTTGGTTTTCAATGTTAATGAACTACTTAATTATAAAAGGAAAAAAGTCACGTGAATTAGTTACTTCTCATTTCAAAACAGTGTTTCCTCTTAGAATTTTTTCTTTTGAGGAAGGTAACAGTTTCCTCTTAGAATTGAAGGTTTATTAAATAGTGCGCTTCTTTTGAGAAGACTAGGACATTGTCACATTTTCCTTCCTAATTGTGAACAAACAGAAATACTTAGACATATGTATTTGTATACTCGTGCACTACAGACACATTTTAGTTGGGCATCTCCATCTGTCACATTTGCCCTAATCTCTTTCTTTTTTGTTGAGTAAATTTGTTTCTTCCTTTTAGATGCAAACTCTTAAAGTGAGAATGGAGTAATTCAGTGTGACCAACTTGACAATTTGATCCCTGATCGATGTTACTTTGTTGTATTAATGCTATTTTTGCTGCAATATGTGCTCGACTGCTCGTTATTCAGTTTCTAATTTATGGTTAATATGAATTTCAGAGGTATCAGAGAGGGGCCAATCTTTGACGCTGAAGTATTTAACCATCTTATTTTATCTCTTGTGCGTAACAAATGCCGAGTTGCTTGTTAAGCCATTGGAACAACAGCCCATCTCTCCAGTCAACAAACCTGTTGAAGCACCTGGCTTACCCGATCTGCTCCTGCCGGCGAGTGTACCTGCATTTCATAGGCAACATAGAAAACATTTTCCTTCTGGTGCACCACGGCTTTGGCTAGGCCCTGCCCAGCCTCCTGATTATGGTCCTTTAGTAACTGCTGCAAACCCTCCTTCCAGTTCACGCTTGTCCAAGCCATCAATGAAGAAAAGTGGATTGGTGCCTCCTAGTGCTGGCCTTGCACCTCCCCGTTCAGCAGAGATTGCTCCAACACAATCCAGTCCTAGTACTCTACCCGCTGGTTTGGCTCAGCCACCACTTTCCCCTCACACTTCCAGTAAGAATCTTTCTTTTTAATGAATTTAAACCGAAGACCTTCTTGGACTAGCGTATATATGTCCTATTTCCTCCATTCCTACAAAAAAAGATAAAATAGGGAGAAGCTGGTAGTACTGTAGCAGAAAATGAGAGTCATAATTTTGGGGTTATGCATTATATTTATAGGGAAAAAGGTTTCATAAGCGAAAACTATATAAAAAGTATCATAAACCATTTGTTTTAAAAATTAAGAGCCTGGTTGGATTTGGCTTTGGAACTGGTTCTGGAATTGGTTTTGGATGTGTAGGTTTAGGTTTGGTTTCTGGAAACAACTGTGAGCGATTGGATTTAGGTTCTAGAAGAATTGGTTTTGAAAAGTGATTGTGTTTGAATCTCTCAAGAGGGAATTTTACGCTTTCATTTGGTTAGAATTTACTAATACAAATCGACTGCATATCTTAAATTGCTGAAAAACTTACTTCCCAGTAGCCGATAAATCATAGAACATTACTTTCTCTCTGTATATGGATCCAACAGAGGGAACAACAAAAAAGTGAGGGGGAGGGGGACACGGGCCATAAATCTGAAAAGAGTTCCATACCGAAATGCAAGGATCTAAATGAAAAGTTTAATGTTGAGAAAACAGAATTCACTGTTGGTTTTGTTTGCAAAAGTTGATTTCCAGAACCGTCGCTGATTTCCAAATTTGTTTTGTACCCTAAGTACTCTAGTATTCGGTTTCCAAAATCAGTCCTATCGGTTTTGAAACCAAACACCGCTTAATAATTCCAAAAATTATGTTAAATATTCAAAAGAAACAAGCTGATTCTCCAAGTTACATAAATAAGGATAAAGGGAGAGTGATATTTCAAATATTTTCCCATTGGTACAGCTTATAGGACACGTTTAAACACTGACTCATTAGCGAACTATCCTTTGGTGCGGATAAGTGCAAAACATATGTAAGAATCACAACCTATCTCTTTATAATGTGTCAGTGAAGGTATTCATTCTTTGCCATCCCCCTTGGAAGATATATCTCCACATTTATGTGCATCTTTTTTCTTTCCCATTTTGGCAGACTGTTGTGGACCAGATATGGTGCTCAAACGAGGAAGCCAGGACTGCCAGTGTGTTTACCCATTAAAGATCGACCTTCTCCTCTTGAATGTCTCATCAAATCCAAATTGGAAACTGTTTCTGAATGAATTTGCTTCACAATTAAGTTTAAAGGTTTCTCAAATTGAGCTAATTAACTTTTACCTGGTGGATCTATCAAAGCTAAATATATCCATGGATATCACACCAGATAAGGGAATTAGCGTATCATCTGCTGAAGCCTTTGCAATAAACTCTTCGTTGTCAATGCATAAGATCCATCTAGATCCAGCACTAGTGGGTGGATATCAATTGCTCAACATTACCTGGTTTAAGCCTCCAGTTTCAGCACAAGGTACTTTGGGGGGGGGGGGGGGGGGGGGGTTGTTATTAACCCCTCAATTCCACAGGTCTTTTCATATTTGGTGAGTAACTTTTCTTTGATATGCAGCTCCACGTTCTGCTATGTCACCCGTTGAAGCAGCTCCGCGGCTGCCTTCAGCTCCTGCAGTAACAGTGTCTTCGAACAAAAGGAGACATCCAAGTTTAATTCTTATTGTTGGGATTGTTGCTGGCATCTTAATCATCACTATCATATCAACACTCTTTATTTGTTTCTGTGGATCTAATCAAAGACAGAAGAAAAGACCCCACAAAGAAACTGGTAAGTGATTGTATGTTCCATGGACTTATCAAATTATCCTGGATTTGGATCGCCTTCTTTTTAAAGTTCCACCCACGTAGGAACAGAAATTTGGATTGGTGAACAGAAGAAACAAGGATGGAAAAGGCTCTCTCTTGTTAACTTGGACTAGTGTTACTTGAGTAGTAGAAGCTTGATCAATAACTCTAGCAAACTACTTACTTCTGGTCAAATTAGACAAAAAGCAAAAAGTCTGCAGAAGCTTTCGTTGATCTTTTGTTCAGAAGTAATGTTAAATTGAAGTTTTCTCCCTATCCGCGAAACTTTGGTTTGCATCTGGCGTCTTGAGCTCTCATAATTTCCTGTATGAGCTACTTAAAATGGTTATTATACTTAAACTGGTGGCTTAAACCCACAATGCTATACTTGAGCTACCAGTTCCTTTTGAACCAAAAATATCTTAAAATGGCTGATATATCGAAGAAACTAGAATTCCGTGAAGCTATTTTTCTGCTAACTAGAAATATTTTTATCGGTTCTTTAAATGCACGATGTTGAAACTATAAATGGAGATGTTTTTGTTTGTACTTGTTGCACCACCTAAGTTTTTTACTTTATAAAAATTCACTTGTATTTTGATTTCTTGATAGCAAGACCGATACGTACGGACGCTGTTCCAGCTGAGGGATCATTTCCCCATCCAACTAGTACACGGTTCCTTCCATATGAAGAACTGAAAGAAGCTACAAATAACTTTGCACCATCTAGTATACTTGGAGAGGGCGGCTTTGGCAGAGTTTTCAAGGGTGTGCTGAGTGATGGTACTGCTGTTGCAATAAAAAGACTTACTAGTGGAGGCCAACAAGGAGGTAAAGAGTTTCTAGTTGAGGTTGAGATGCTTAGTAGGCTGCATCACCGTAATCTGGTGAAACTTATTGGTTACTATAGCAGTCGTGAGTCCTCACAGAACCTACTGTGTTATGAGCTTGTTCCAAATGGGAGTTTGGAGGCTTGGCTTCATGGTAAGTTTTTTTGTGACTTAATCCTTTGTCAACTTTGCAACTAAATAGCTACAATATCTGCCTTGCTATTTTAGTTTGTAATTTGCTTATCTGGTAAGAAGTCACATAAAGGAAAGGTAACTCCAACTATCAACATATTCAGCTTTCCTTATATGGCCTGTCTATTGGAGATGAATATGAACTCTCACATATGTTTCGAAAGTCATTACAATGGTTCTGACTTCTGAGCTATTCTACCATTACCCTAAAACTTGGAGTGGATATTTAGATTCTATAGCAGGTGTTAGAGTATGTAGAGATCCTTCAAGTCTCATTGCTATTCTCGTGAATAAATGAATTTGCGTGTCTTAGGCCCAGGAAAAGAAATCAAGCCTGCTCCTGAGGAGGTGGTATTTAGAAGTTTAAGTGAATTGTTAAAAGTGTCCTCTTTCTAACAGTTTAAGTTTCTAGACAAGGTGGTCGCACAAATCAGCGTTGTGACCTATTCAACTTATCAAGGAGTTTAACAATTGCACTCTCTTGCTGCAGGCCCTTTAGGATTAAACTGCCCACTGGATTGGGACACAAGAATGAAAATTGCGCTTGATGCAGCGAGAGGACTTGCATATTTGCACGAAGATTCTCAACCTTGTGTTATCCATAGAGATTTTAAGGCATCAAATATATTGCTTGAGAACAATTTTAATGCCAAAGTTGCTGATTTTGGCCTTGCAAAACAGGCCCCGGAAGGCCAGGCGAATTACCTCTCGACTCGTGTTATGGGCACATTTGGGTTAGTGTTTCTTCGTTAACACATGCTTCTCTAAGATATAAGATTGACTAATTTGGAAGCACTGTTCTGTGCAGGTATGTAGCCCCTGAATATGCCATGACTGGGCACCTACTCGTAAAAAGTGATGTGTACAGCTATGGGGTTGTTCTCCTTGAATTGTTGACAGGAAAAAAGCCTGTAGATATGTCACAACCATCTGGACAGGAAAATCTTGTTACTTGGGTAAGTGTTACGTTGTTGGTACTTTCTTTTACTATTGCATCTCTTACTTCAGGTCATACAAGTGTAGTTGAGCACCTTTTTTTTTCTTGAAATGGTAACAGAGTTTTTGTGCACTTGCTGATCTTCAGAAATCATGTCTCCATTTTCCCCCTTTTGGTACTTTACAAAGAAGCTTATTGTGTTGTCATTATATTGGACTCTTTGAAAAAGGCTGTAAAAAGAAAGGGCTGTATTTTGTTTTCAGGCCAGACCAATACTTAGAGACAAGGATCGTTTGGAAGAACTTGCTGATCTAAGGCTTGAGGGAAAGTACCCAAAGGAGGATTTTGTGCGGGTTTGTACAATTGCAGCGGCTTGTGTTGCTCCGGAAGCTAGCCAACGGCCTACAATGGGAGAAGTGGTTCAATCTCTCAAAATGGTTCAGCGGGTAACTGAGTACCAGGATACTAATATAAATTCAGGCACTCGACCTAACATAAGGCAGTCATCTACAACATTTGAATCAGATGGTACCTCGTCTATGTTTTCTTCTGGTCCTTACTCTGGTTTGAGTGTGTTCGAGAATGACGTATCTCGGGCAACTGTATTCTCAGAAGATCTCCATGAAGGAAGATGAACATTATTGGGATGGCCTTCCAATGCTTCAAACACTCTGATCTTCAATCGTAATGCAAGCAAAATGGGAAAATTTGAAGTGGGTTGGCAGAAGTGAGACCCTGCACAGTGGATCTGGCAATGCTTTGGAAAATCTATTGGTTTGCTTCATCCCCTGTAGAGAGCCCATTGTTCAATTTTTCCTGTATGGCCATTCTCTACTTGTTGGATGAGAGCCTGTATATATGTATCGGTTGATATTTGATGGCAGTGGTTCAGTTGAAGGGGGGTGAAAGTTGAATTTCTTTTTCTTAAGTTTCTTTATCTGTGTGATGCCCCTTGTGTAAATTCCTCCTTATCCTCAAATTCTATAACTTTTAAGGACTGTATCACTTATCATGGATTCTCCTTACAATATCCTGGATAACAGAGCAAAACTCAACTGGATAAAGAATTGTTTTAGGGTGTTAGTGAGAACCAGTATTTTGAGATTGAAAAAGTAGTGGTACAGTACCTTGAGTTTGTAAAACTATGACCACTTATTTCATGGAAAAATATGTTTTTTGAAGTGCCACCAAAGTGTCTTAAAGTATTTTCAGTTGATGCAACTTTTGCTACTCAGGAGCTTTGAAGCTGTTTTAGCTTTAATATTAGGAGATAGGATCACCTACTATTAGACGATTTGCCTTACTATTAACTGATGAAAGTTTAATACTTTCCTTAGATGATATTACTATTTTAGTAATTATGTGATAACCTACTTTATTATACAGATTAAAGAACAAGTCCCAAAAACTGCGAAAGATCCTGATAATCAATAAATTGTGCGGAAACAACTTCATTCAATCTGAAAAAAATTACTGTTGTTATGAAATATAAATATATATTTATATGGATGTCCACTAACCAAATACAATTCCCACTACTCTTCTCCATTATGTAGATAACCCCACTACTCACCATTATTGTTGTAACTCCCACATCTCCATAACCTACCCATGATCTTCCTCCATGATCTCAAATGCTTAATGGCATATTTATGGAATTCTTTTGGTATACCTCTATGTTGTACTATAAATAGAGGATGAGAACTCATTTTGTAATACACTTGAAACACATGGAAGAAATAAGAATCTCTCATCTCTTTCTCCCTACATTCTTGTCTATTTTCTTGTTTTATACTATTCCTTTGAGCTAAGTTTCTTAACACGTTATCAGCAAGACTTCTAACCAGCTTAGGATATGTTCCTCAATTGAGGGATGTTCACGAAGAGTAAAGCATGGTCAGGTCTCGATAAGTCATTCCACGAAGGCTTAGTGGTATCACACAATTAGTGACACCAACACGGTACAAATGTTCTTCGGTAAGGTTAGGTATGTAACCAATTTATTTTACTTTGATTTGGCAAATGGGAATAATTTTGTAATGAACCAAACGTATGAATTATCTCTTTACTGGTTTTACTAAAATTGGCTTTGGCTATAAGTATTTTATGTGTGATTAATTTAAAATTGATATACCCACGTTTGTTAAGAGGAAAAAGGCGTCTGATTCCACTAGTCTTATGTTAGTTTGCATTTGAATTTCATTGATTTTTACCCTTGTTGGCTTGAACAAGTGTGTTAGACTCATTCATTATTTGTCTCATTTTTCTTATAGGTAATGAAATGTTAATGCATGATATATATAGTACTATATCTAAACTATATGTTTTGATAGATTTATATATAGTATATTAGTATATGAGTATGTACTGGATCGAAAATTATATTTCTTATATTTTTTATCATTTTCAATTCACTTGTTTTTAATGATAATTTTACTATGTCGAATTTATCAAAATTTAAATTTATGGCTATGTAAAATTATGTTCTATTTTCGAAGTGAATGAGACAAGTTGTGACAAATATTATATGGTGGGTTCAAGTCCCAATGCACCATGAGGGTAAGACATCGAGTTTTGAGTTATGATGCTCCATGTTGATAAGAGTTGGGTCGAGTCCCAACTCATTTTGGCCTAACATGCCTTTATATGGGTAAGGCATTGGGTTTGAGTCCCAATGCACCATATTGATGATATAATGATGACTAAAAAAAATTATATATTTTTCATGAATGTCCCACTTGATTTGCTCCATTCTTGAAGTGAATGTGATAGCGGTGCATAATAACTCTAAATGAAGACAAGTGGTTGTTCAATGAAAGTGGGCGTGCCAAAGACCAAAATAATAATAATAGTCATCATTATGGTAATTGTAAAAAGGAGAACAATAAGGTTTCTCAAAATAGTCCTTCAGAAGGTGAAGGAAATATTTATCATCAAATTGGTATGAAAAATTTATAAAGCACGTCGCGATAATTATACTCCATTCTTTGAAGAGAATGTGACTTGTGATAAGCATTGAGAATGCGGATTCATTCCTGAAGATGAATGTAACAATATGTGATAAAATTAATGAATAAAAACGTGCAATGCATGATTGGATCAATACCACACAACTCACATCTACGGGAGGTTTGAGTGCAATAAAAAGAATGAAAATATGAATATGTCATTGGTTGTGTACATGTGGTACGCCAAAAATATATTGTCATGCTTTATAAAAAGTTGTTAAAGGCAAACTAAAGCAAGAAATGATTTTGCTTATGATGATTTTGACCATGACAATTATTATGATATGATTTCTCCGTGAAGGAGACATTCACCATATGGATGGTGAGAAAAAAGTCTTGTAGTACAAAATCAATTAAGAGCTCTGGAAGAGCTAATTTGTTACTACTCGGATATATGAAATTGTTCATGACAATGATATAGTAGTAAGTCTCAAAAGAAACTTTTTGAGTTTCAAATATAATAGTCAAAGTGGTTGGCATTTGAGACTATAAATGAAAGGAAGATTGAATATCTTCATATTACTATAATAATACCGGGTAAATATGAAAGGTTACCCGACTTTTCTTCTATGTGTACTACACATGTATAAGCATGATGATATAATCACATGCCATAGTAAATTAGATGTTTACTGAAATAAGTATCAGTTGGCATGACCGGTCGGCCACCCCGGTTCAATTATGATGCGAAAAATTGATTGAGAATTAACATTGGTATATATTGAAGAAATAGAAGGTTCTTCAAGAATTCTCTTGTGCTGCTTATTCTCATGATATACCAGTTAAGGTTGGGATTGAATCCCTTGATTTCTGGAACAAATAGAAGGTGATATATATATATATATATATATATATATATATATATATATATATCTGGGCCCAGTCACCTGCCATGTGGACCGTTTACTATTATATGATTTTAATAGATGCATCTATTGTATGGTCACATGTGCGCTTGCAGTTTGGATTTTGAAAGATTAATTTCTCAAATTATTAGAGCAGAGTCCAGAATATAAATTTATCTTGATAATGTTGGTTTAAATCCAAGTTGGTTTAGCAGATATTGTATGCCTCCAATTATAGCTAAACCATTGGTTATGAGAACAAAATTGCCAAAAAGAAATTTGGTATGAGATGTATTATTTAATATAGAGCAGCACTTGTACGCATCTAGCCAAGTTATGATAAATTCTCCCCGTCACAATTGGTTCATAGTCAGGAGCCAAATAATTTCCATCTTGAAATATGGATGTGCTATATGATTTAATTGTGACACCACAATGCACAAAGATGGGTTCCTATAGAAGGTTGGAAAATGTATTGGTGATCCTAACATTAGGGAGAGAAAATGGGCAGCTGAAACAGTGATACGTGGAATGAATTATTATGAATACATCTAGATCCTCGTACGAGAAAATGTGAACTTATGTGAACTTGAAGTTCAAGTGATAATTCATTTTCAAAATATTTCCAGGAGCATTTGCTGACCCAAAGCTAAATGTTATATTTCAGTTGTTAATGCTCCAAATAGAATAAAGTCCATGATGGACAGAGTTTATGACACGCATGAAGCGTAATAGACTAAACGGTTCCAAAGATAAAACTCCTTGAAGAAGGAGAGGAGCAAATGTTTAAGATGGTCACATTAAAGAGGTAAGTGCTTTATAAGAGCACCATGACATAACGCTTTATAAGACCTCATGGGAGAGGCTCGGGTACCTGAAAATAATGAGATAAAAGAGATCTCAATAAGTTATATCTTTAGTGGGTAACGACAGAACCGATGTAAAATGATCGTCGACGATATTGTTGATATAATATAGGGCTCAATATTATTAATATTGACGAGGATATTGAGCTCAAATCTGTCATGGAATTCGGACAGATAAATAATTGGCCAAATGAAAAGTATACAATGAAAATTGACTTCACATGAAAAATGTGAAGTTGGATGGATAGTCCCAACACCTGAAAGTGAAATGAAAAATTAAGTCGATGGACATAAAGACGACTTGTAGCACAAGATTTTTCGTAAATATTCCGGCATTAGTTATATGGAGATATGTTCTCCTATGGTGGATGAAATCCTTTTCAGGTTTTAATTTGGCAATACATGAAAAACTTAATATGCATATAATGGAAATCCTTGAAGGATTTAAATTGTTAAAGTTTCAGGAGATCCTTATGTGGATTAGAGTAATCATGGTGTACCTGATTTGTTATTGTGTCTAGTACAATTGGTGCACTAATATATCTGGCTAGAACCATGAGTATAACAATATGCTAGCGAGATATAGTTTTATTCCTATGTGGAGATATTAGAATACAATTAGTGTTATATTTCAAAAGGAATACTTGATGTAGATTTGTTTATTCTAACAAATATTGTCAAAGTTTTGTCAGTTATGTAAATGCAGGGCATTATATGAAGTTCGTTCTTCATACCAAGATACTAACATCTTATATATTAAGTGACTCAACACGAATGAGACGTGTGATTTTTTTGAAGAGAAGATTCCAATAATATTAAAGATGGTGCTGCTTGCATAGCTCAATTGAAAGAACGATATATTGAAGAAGACAAAATAAAGCATATTTCACCAAAGTTTTGCAGAGACAATCTTCAATAGAATGATGAAATGGATGTTCAAGAAATTCGTTCAAGTGATATTTGGCAGAATAATTCACCAAGGCATTGTCGATCTCAACATTAGAGAGGTTGTTATACAAGCTTGGAATTCGTCGTCTCCGAGAAATAAATTGATGTTTTCATCAGGGGGAGGCACATACGCGTTGCACTCTTTTTTCTTTGGCTAAGGTTCTATCCCACTGGATTTTCCTGGCAAGGATTTTAATGAGGCATCAAGTAATGCGTATTACAATATTTGTGTACTCTTTTTCCTTCACTAGGATTTTTTCCCACTGAGTTTTTTTTCCTAGTAAAGTTTTAACGAGGAACATTAGCTATGGACATCCAAGGGGGAGTGTTATGAAATATATATTTATATGGATGTCCACTAATCAAATATAACTCCCACTACTCTTTTCCATTATGTAGATAACCCCACTACTTCTCACCATTATTGTTGTAACTCCCACACCTCCATAACCTACCCATGATCTTCCTCCATAATCTCAAATGCTTAATGGCATATTTATGAAATTCTTTTGGTATACCT